AAAAAAAAAAAAAAAAAGCACGTAAAGCACGCCGAAATACTGTCGCCCAGGTGTGAATGGGGTCTAATGCTGCGCACACATTCAGGGCCCATTCACAACAGCCGCTGCACAAAATAAGTGAGTTGCCAAACAGTGCTGATGCATCTTTAAAAAAAAAAAATGACTTTATTAAATGTCACAAGTGACATTTCATTAAGTTCTACAGGCAAAGGGCCCCGGGCAGGGGCAGACTGGGCTGGGTGGCAGGGTGGCAATTACCCCCCGGGCCACCGCGAACGGCCCCTTGACCCCCGGCCGCTGCCACCTGCACCCCCCCGCCCTCCACATCCGACGCGGCTCTGTGAATGTTGCGGCCTCTGCTCCTCAAGGAGGTGCTCGGGAGGCTCCAGCAGGAAGCACTGGAGAGAGCAGGCGGTTGGGTCCTTCTGAGGACTGAGCAGCCGCCGATCACAGAGCCGCATAGGATGCGGTCCGGCTGGGTGCAGGTGACAAACAGAGGGAGAGAACCACTGCAGCTGTGGCCACAGCTGACACCTCCCCCGCCTCACAACCAGGGTCCATGCAGCCCCCCACTGACCACCAGGCCAAGGTAAGGGGACATTTTTTTAAACAAAATCCGGGGACATTTTATCCCCGGGAGCATAAAACAAACTTTTTTTAAATATATTCACCTGATCCCTGCATCCACCAAAAGTGTGGCCTCCCACACTGTTAGAAGCTACATACGGCGCGTGCTGGTTACATGCCAGACCCGCCCGCATCCACACCTCCTCCCCCTTGCTGCTGCCAGACCCGCCCGCATCCACATCCTCTATAGCTGGTGGTATTCTGCATTGTGATGTATAATGCATTATTGCTGGGATTTGTAGTCCCCAATGCAGCAAAATGCAGAATACCACCAGCTATAGAGGGCTACAAATCCCAGCAATAGTACATTTTAGCTGGTGGAATTCCACATTGTGCTGTATAATGTATTGCTGGGTTTTGTAGTCCTCTATAGACGATGCCATTCTGCATTGATTGCTGTATAATTTTACACTTTCCATTTCACTATATTGCACACCACACTTTTTTTCTTATTTCCACCGCTCCAAGCTCGCTCCTGTGATGGACTACAATCTCAATACAAACTAGTAGTCCATCACTGGAGCCTTTTGTTTTGGAGCAGAGAGCCCGCACTGACCACCTGGCGGTCCGCATTGGCCACCTGAGAGCCTAATTAGGGAACCACCTCTGCTGCACACACGCACCCGTGAAACTCTCTGGACCCCTGGTGAGAGCCCGCACAGCCCACCTGAGACCCTTTAGACATCAGGCGAAGAACCCAGAGCAACAGAGTTTGTAACTTCATATTATTCTGCATTGCGCTATGTAATGTATTGTTGGGATTTGTAGTCCTCTATAGCTGATGCTGTTCTGCATTGCTGTATAATGGTATTGC